AGGCCTGTCGTGGAGGGCAGGAGAAGGGTATGCACAGTGATAAAGTCACAGAGGGGCCAGATCTCCTCCAGGGACAGCTGCTGAATGCTGAAGGAGGCCGAGACCTCTGGTGAGATGATGGGGTCGTACCCTACAGTCTTCATCCCGAAGGACTGCATCTGGATGGCCACTCTCTCCGATCCTCCGCAGGCCAAGAATTCCCAGGGTCTTTCCATTCAACTCGGTTCCCATGAACTTCTTTCAGTCCTATTTGCCATCCTTCATCCAAGCTGTCGCTTGGGGAATCTGCCTGGCCAGACACATGATCATCCCACGGGTGAGCTCCGCAGCACTAAGACTGTTCCCATTGGGAGTGTGTGTTCATGACCAGGATGCCCTTCCTCGTGGCGGCCTCCATATCCATGTTGTCCACGCCGGTGCCGGCCCTGCCCACCACGTGGAGCGTCTCTGCTGCATTGATGACTTCCCCAGTCACCTTGGTGGCCGAGCAGACAATAAGGAACTCTGCAGTCCTGCAGCTCAGCTACCAGCTCCTCTTTGCTCAGGTTCTGCTTCTCCACCACCGGAAGCCCTCCATCTTGCAGGATCTTCCGGCAGCAAGGGTCCAGGCTGTCACTGCTGAGCACTTTCTGTAGATTTGCAAAGGCCATTGCTGGAGCCGGCCTTGGGATCCTCCACTCTCCCTGGACAGAAACACTGCTAAGCCCCCAGACTTGGTTCTGATTGGTCAGTTCCTATGCCAGTCAGTGTCTCTGGGCCTATCAACGGGCTGCATCAGAAAGGCAGGGCTGATCAGCAGCCCCTGGAGAGTTCTGGAGAAAAAAGGAGGCACAGCTGCTGGCCAGACTCAGAGAGAAAGAGAGAGGCAAGTGCTGGTCAAAAGCTGCCAGAGGCAACGGATCAGTCCCTGCTTCTCTCTTCAGGCCTCTCTCTGGCCCTGATTTGCAGTCCCCTTAGCAGTCAGTGCTGGGACACCTCACCTAAAGCGGAAGCAGTCAGCGGTGGGTTGCCAAGGCAACCCAGCACTGACTTCCAATCTGGTCAAGCTTTGGTCCTAAAAGTGTTACACCCTGGCTCATTATTGAGATTCCAGGAGGCAAAGTAAGGGTGTGGTCAAGATTTTTACAATGTTCTCTCAGGTTTTGAATCTACTCAATTACATGCACCTGATCAAGCTTTGGCTCCTTGCTGTACCTCCTGTAGCCCATATCACAGCCATGTGGGACCACAGGTTCCGACCATAAGGTCAAACTTACAACTGCAGCTTTGGCTATAAGTGTGCTGGAAGGGCTTTGCCCTCCAAGCTAGGACTTGCATGTGGTTTTGCCATGAGAGGACCATGCCCTCTCATTAGCCTGAGGGTTGAACTTGTCCAAACACTGTAGCCGCTCTCCACACCTGTGATTTTCACAAAGATACTATAGTAAACAGCCTCAACCTCACAGCCCCTACTTTTTTCTAGATCTCTGCTGGGTCTCTCTAAAAACTCACCACTTTAAGCATCCACTTTACAGTTCCCAACACACTCAGCTCCATTCCTTGATTGCTTCTTAGGCTTAGGTGGTATTAAGAAAAAGTTAGCCAGCTTCCACCAGAAATAGCCTAAGATAGCACACTTCTGAAAGGAGGAGGAGGAGGAGGAGGAGGAGGAGGAGGAGGAGGAGAAAACTCTTGAGAAGACCTTCTTGCTCCCAGCTGCAAATTGTATGGCATCAGTTAGGTAGTACCTGCCTTGCCAAAAAATAAAAAAAATCTTTGTGGGCTGAAAATGTTTAATTTTACCTAAGATTACTCCTAAGAGCAATTTATTGATTCAAAGTTCTAAAGACATATTAATTTCAGCTTGATTTAATTATATAGATAGATAGATAGATATAGATTATATTCTATGTGCTTTCTTTGCCCAGAGAAAATGAAGATGTTCTAACTTAACATATTTTGCTTTGAAAGAAAGATCCTTTTTTTGCACAAAATATATACCTCTCTGAAACCAATACAAATCAAGGAAAACCTATATTTATAATTAATTGCCTCAAGGAATTCGAGTTCATCTAATGGGAGATACAGTTACATGTAGAGATGAAACATATTCATCTTGTTTGTTTATCAAGTCTCTTGTTCTTGAGAAATTACATTTATGAATTGTTCCATAACTGCTAAAAACTAGTCCATTTTGGTCAAGTATTTTTATGGCTGAGTAGGTAGAACCGGAAGATTTTGGCACAAAGTATTCACTAAATATTGTATGACTAGTTGAAGCAATGTTCCCATGATGCCCTAGCTATCTTTCCCAAGGAGCTCTGAACACCTTTCACGATTTTTTTAATAGTAAGAATCACTGACCTAAATACTTCATCAGCTTAGTACAGAAGTTTTAATTTTAAACCTTACATGCATTATTATGCCTGCATCCATTCCATTTTGTAGGCAGTTGAGACCTTTGAGAAATTGCCAAAATCTAGGCTTTCTTCCTAAGTGCTTCCCAACATTAAAGAAATGTTATTGAATGCCCATATCCACTCACCCATAGCTGATTTGACTGGCTAATGTCGGTTATATAAGTAGTCCTCAATTTTTTATACCTTATATACCACCTTCTTTCAAAAACCTGGCACCTCACTATGATAGACACAAACAAACAAAAGTCTATTTCATTTCTAAGAATGACATTTATAAACTGCATCAGTCAGGGTTCTCCGAGAAATAAGAGTAATAGGAGGCAGAGAGATGGAGAGTTTATTTTAAGGAGTCAGCTTACTCAATCGTGGAGCTCGCAAGTGTGAAGGCACTAAGGCGGGCCAACATGCAGGGTTTTCACGTTACAGTCTCAAAGGAGAATTCTCCTTTAACAGTGGTTCTCAACATTGGCTGCACAGTAGAATCACCTGGGAATCTTTTTAAAATCCTGATTTCTGGGCCTCATCCTCCGGAAATTCTGTTTCTTTGTTATGGGATGGGGCCACAACATTAGTAACAAAGAAACAAAATTTCCGGAGGACGAGGCCCAGAAATCAGGATTTTAAAGATTCCCAGGTGATTCTAATAGGCAGCCAAGGTTGAGAACCACTGTCCTATACCAACCCTCAGCTTTTGTTTTTAGGGCCTTCTATGAATTGAATGAAGCCCATGTGCATCCTCAAAAGTAACTGCTACTTAAAAGCAGCTGGTTATAGATGTTAATCACATCTACAAAATATCTTCAGAGCAACATCTACACTGATGCTTGGCTAAACAAATGGGCACCATATCCTGGCCAAGCTGACACAACTTCTGTTATTTTTGTTGTCCTTTACAAGGTTTAAAGTCTTTCAAGTTTCACTACTAACTTCCTGTGTTTTTCTGGATTCCTAAGTCATCCCACAGGCGATTTTTAAACAACCACCTGGGAGCTATCCCCTTAAAAGGTCTACATAGGATTAGTGTATTAATTAAGGCTT